ATGATTTTCGGTAAGGCTTTTGACTTAGTCTCTCGTTTTTTTCATAAGAAAACTTGGGAAAAGTCTAGATGAAGTTACTACAAGGTGGATGCATAACTACTCTCAGTATGATCTTTTAATCAGTCATCAGTGGCAACTGGCCAATGGGGAGGAAGTATCTAGTGGGCTCCTGCAAGAGTCTGTCCTGTGTCCAATACTACTCCATATATTTATTAATGACTTAAATAATGTAGTGGAGAGTGTGTTTTTAAATGTGGTTATTACCACCTAACTTGCAGGGATTGTTAACACTTGGGAGGATTGGATTAGAATTCAAAATGATCTTGCCAAAGGGAGATCTGGTCTGAAATAAAAATGAAATCCAATAAAGACAAATGCGAACTGTTACACTTAGGAACAAGAAATCAAATGCACAAATATAAAACTGGGAATAACTGGCTAGGTATTTATCCTGTTGAAATAAATCAGTAATTATTGTAGATCTCAAATGTAATGGCTCTAAAATGCATTTATGTAAAAGGCAAGTATTATTCTGGAGTGTATTAACAGGGATCTATATGTAACACACAGGAGGTAACTGTTCCACTCTACTCAGCAGTGTGAGTACTGGGCACCTCACATTAGGAAAGATGAGGACAAATTGGTGAGAGTCCAGAGGAGAGCAACAAAAATTATAGAAGGTTTAGAATACCTGACATAAGAGGTAAGGTTAAAAAAAACCTGGGAATATTTAGTCTTGAGAAAAGAAGATTCCAGGGGATGTAATGATAAATAATCTTAAATTACCATTTTTAAATGTGTTGAGCACCATTATGAAGAATAATGGCCTCTCTATGTCCATTTGAAGGTAGAACAAGAAGTAATCATCTTTGATCTGCAGCAGGGGAGATCTAGATTAGGAATTGGGGAATATTTCTAAATATTAGCCGCTCTGAAATAAGCTTCTAAGGAAGGTTGTGGTATTCCTGTCATTGAAATATTTTTAAGAACAGCTTAGACAAACACCTATCACAAATTGTCTAGGAGGTTTACTCGACCCTGACTCAAGACCAAAGGGCTGAACTAAGTGATCTTTTGAGCTCACTTTCTGTGCTACAGTTCTATTGTTCTTAACTCATCAGCAACTAACAGGGCTGCCCCTCTGATTCTAATCAAATTAGTCTGTAAAACTCCTGTGTTGCAGTGAAGTGCAGTCACTCTCACTCAAGCTATAGTAGCTTGAATGCAGTAGCTGAAGCACATTAACTCGCAGTGAAGACAAGCACTCAAGGACCACCTACCACTATATGAACTAAGATGTGGTAAATATTTCAAAATCAAATTATTTTGTCTCCTATTAACATTGCTTCATATAAACCACAGCTATTGTGACCTTCATATTTTGTTTTAAAGCAAAGCTAGAGTGAAAAATATTGATTTATGGCATTATGAAAAGAATCTGTGTTGGCTGCTGAAAAGTGTAACTTCATGATTTTTTGTTTTTAACTTTTCCTAGGTCTATACTAAGAGCCACCTATGTCAGTTAACTGGGGGGAAAAAGTGCCATACTAATATAAACCATGTATAAAGTTAGATCATAGTCTTTGACTAAATAGATTAGAACTTAACTACTGCCCTACAGTTCATGAATCTTAAAAGCTTTACAGAGTAAGGTACAAATACCACTGCCAGTAGATTAATGCATCACTTGTTAACTATGCTCAACAATAGCTCTTTTGCACATCTTTGAAGGTCAGACAGAGAAGGAATGGAATTTTAACTGGGGACTGAGATGATGCTGTACTTGTTTTGAAAAGTGTCATGAAAGTTTTCATCTAAATGCTTGCAATCTTAGTTGGAGTGAGAGAACTGTGCTTCAGTATCTCAAGAAAACCATTTACAGATGACCACTCTTACTGAACTGAAATGCAGTGTGTTCCAATAACCTACTGTTTGACCGTTGGTAAAGACCTGCTGTTCAAGTATTACTTCCAATGCAACTGCTTGTTACGGTACTAGACAATGTAAAGCAGGGGTGGAGAACCTCAGGTCCAGGGGTCAGATGCAGCCCTGGTTTATCTGGATCTGGCCCCCAGGGCTCAGAGCTCCCCTCAACATTGGGGAGCCCGTGCTGGTGCTCTAGCTCCTCTGCCATTTCCCCACAGAGCTGGAGCACACAGCATCTACTAGTCAGAGTCCCCACCCACCCACCCCCAAGCTCTGGTGTGCAAGGGGAATTTGAGGAGTGTCTTTCTCCTTCTCAATCAGTGAGGGGTTTTTTATTTTGTTTTTTTCTTTGCTTCTCACTTGTGTGTGGCCCCCAAATGATTTTTTTGTGGGTCAGCAGCCCCTGGCTTAGAAAAGGTTCCCCACCCCGATGTAAACTAAAGGAATGTTCAAAGCATTTAATTCCAGAAAGTGTATATGTCATTATCAAAAGATAACTTAAGTCTTGAGAAAAGGCGCATAAAAAAGTCGGACGGCCCCTGCCCCCAAAAAACAAACATTACAGTGGGGGAAAGTGTTCTTTCATAGCATTTTGCAGTATTAACACAATCACCTTTTCAGGGGAAGAGTTTTAAATGGCTATATTGGGCTGTTACATGTACAATTTTAGATAAGTAATGGCCAGGGGGAGGGGCAACAAATATAATGGAATAGTTATTCTAAAATATAACTATTTTAGGGCAGTATTTCTTTCAGACGTGGTACAGAGAGCTAGATTGCATGAGACAAACTAATTTTTAAAAGACATAAATAACCACTTGTGTCTAGAATCATCTTGATCTAAGTTACCCCATGATTATTTTGTCTGAAATATTGCATGTGAATTTGATTTCAGGTAGAGTCTTCTATATTGAAACATTTTGATGCTATAATATTTATAGTCTAATGTGGGTGAGAGAGACACAAAAACTGGTCAATGTTTTTTTTCCCTGAATTAAAATAGAGCCTGGGGCTAATAGTTATAAAATATAGTTATACAGACTATCCAAAGGCAGCTTTGTTATAGAATAAGATGAACTTAATATGTAGTCAGTCATATATGTATAACTTCATTCTAAGTCACTTTGCAAAGTTCTAAGCAGTGAAAGACTAGATACTCTTGAAATTGACAGTGCTCTTGTAGTCACATAAGTACCATGATAATTAATAATCTGTATGTTAACGTGTGAAACATCATTTACTGATAAATGGATAATCTCACAACTGAGTATAATATACAACTTCCTGCCTATCCTAAGAATAATTAAGGGAAAAGTCTATTACTAAAATATTTGAAATACACTTTGGCCACATTTGTAAGGATTATTTTTGCTTTTAGAACCTACTTGCTTGATGAGCATGTAGGTAAGGTACTACTGTAGATTTGTCTCTATTTTTTATAAAAATTTTACAAGTTAACAACTGATGTAACTGAAATGTCAGGTTTTTTGTGGGATTTTTCCTCTCCTCTTCACTGAAAATACTTAAAAACTTATACAATTTGTTATACCAATAGTCTTATTTAATTGATGTGAAAATAGAACACAGTGAATTCAAAAGTGCAAAAATGAGGACCAGTGGTGAATATTGGGAGTTATTTTGAGAAGGAATGAGCAGCAGCAAAAGAGAGTTGAATTAAAAATGTGATACAAAGCAAAACTGCATTAAAAACAATTATTGGTATCCTGCAACCCTGTGTTGTCTGTCTTTACTTTTATGGTGCAAATGAAATGAGCTCATGTAGTTACTATGCTGGTCTAATACTTTAAACAGACAAATTGTCCCTGGGCAAGAGAACATATATTTCCTTTGCCTTAATATATGTGTCACAGAATAAGTACCTATTCAGCGAGGAAGTTGAATACTGTTTGAGTTGAAATAGTGGGGTTTGAGTACTGTTTAAGAGAAGAACCTACTTCTGTGTCACTACTACCAGCTTCTTTAAAGAATATATTCTGGAAAACCAAACTCAAATATCCCATTTAGGATGTCAGGCATCTGAAGTTTTTACTCCAAATTGCAATAATTTTGTGAGTGGAAGTATTGTTGCTGAGAAGAAACTAATTTTCTCCCCACAGCTACCGAGCCTAAATCTGCCGCCTTATAAAATGCCTGAACCTAGGAGCCAGACTCTTAATTGCTTATAAATCCAAAAATCCCTATTGATGGAAAAACTCAGAAGATATCCCAAAGGAACTTGAATAAGTATCACTGAGAGCATACCAGATCCAATATGAGGTGGTACTCATTACTATAACTAAGCCTGTTACTCTCTCAATTTTTTTTTTAAGGGTTGGTCTTTGTGGTTAAAGATAAAAGGTGCTGAGTTTCTTAAACTTAGCTTCTACTTCTGACCTGCTCCCTGGCTTTGATTAATTCATCCGGGCTGCGTCTAGACAGGCAAGTTTTTCCGCAAAAGCGGCCATTTTTGTGCAAAAACTTGCCAGCTGTTTACACTGGCCGCTTGATTTTGTGCAAAAGCACTGACGGTCTACTGTCCGAAATCAGTGCTTGTTGCGCAAATGCTTTGACGTTCCCGTTCGGGCAAAAGCTCTTTTCCGGACATGTTTTTGCGCAAGAGGGCCAGTGTAGACTGCTAAAAACTGTTTAGCGCAAAAAAGCCCCGATGGCAAAAATGGTGATTGGGGCTTTCTTGCACAAAACCGCGTCTAGATTGGCACGGATGCTTTTCCGCAAAAAACGCTTTTGTGGAAAAGCGTCCTTGCCAATCTAGACGCTCTTTTCCGCAAATGCTTTTAACGGAAAACTTTTCCGTTAAAAGCATTTGTGGAAAATCATGCCAGTCTATGTGTGTCTGCCCATTTTCACCTGTTGCATTGCTAGCTGTACCTTGCTTTTGTTTGGCTAACTTAGTACAAATCTTACAGGGGAAGCTGTGTTTGTCTGTACAGGTGACACCTTGAAGATCCAAATATTTATTTGGGTATAAACTGTAGTGGGTCAAAACACGCTCAAATTAGGACTGGATAAGGATTTAGAACCGCTGTGGTTTCCACTCCACGAATCGGACGAAGTGATTTTAGAGCAGGAAAGCTGAAGCCCAGATCACTGTGTTGCTCTTCACATCACGCCCTGATGTGAGTACAGTGCTGGGGCAGCTTTAGCTCTCCCCGGGCTTGTTCTAAACGTGCCCCCAAGCCCCCTGCCTG